TATGTACATCGTAGGCAGGGACCATGGTGCTGAGACAAATCTGCCCTTCCATGAATGAGGCTCACCTCCAACCAATATCCTAGACTCTTATGCTTGGAGTGACCTTGGAGGCAGACCCAGGGTCATTTCCAGTTTCTGGGACCGAAAGGTGCTGTCTTTTCCCAGAGTTCAGAGCACTGCCATGTGTGAAAGGCTGCATCCCAAGTGGGACTTGAGGACCACAAAGCTTACCCTCTCTCCTGATTAGGACCTGGCTTTGCCCAGCTCCAGATCTGTTTGTAAAAAAATAATTATTTGCTTAAAACATGTGAAGCACTCCTGTAATTTTAATCGATTTAATTTAAATTTTAAACGACAGATCTTCAACCTCTAATCACTTTGAAGCTGAAGAGCTGTTCAGTAAATGTGAAGAGCCCGGGGATGGGAATGATTATGTGGAGGACATTGTGAGGAGGAGATGGAAAAGGGAAGGATGAGGAGAAAGAGACAGCAACTCAAATTGGAGTGGGAAACCCTCCCTTGGGCTAAGCTACGATCAGGGCGAGACTCAGCCATTTAGAAGCGACAATGGCACCCACACCCTAGCCTGACTCTAGTGGTGAATCACAGCTCTAGTTTTGGTTTTTAAATTGGCTAGAGATTTAGATGCACTGGGGGGTTTCTAGTAAATTATCAGGTTTTCTGATTGTAAAATTCAACAACTCTTCCTGCACCAAACTCTCTCTCTCCCCCCTCCCCTGTGTGTGTGTGTGTGTGTGTGTGTGTGTGTGTGTGTGTGTGTGTGTGTGTGTGTGTGTGTATCCCCGGAGTCAGTCTTAGTCATGTGACTTGTCTGTTAGCTAGGCCACCCAGCACTGGCCATAGAGTAGTCTAGGTAGTTGACTGAATGATAAACTGATAAATGTTGGCTCAGAAACTGGACCTTGGATTGTAGAGTTCAAGAGCTAAGAGACCCTCCTGCTGGAAGGTGTGCCTACAGCACATAGTTTTCAGGGCGCTAGAGTTTGTGTGTGCATTTGCTTATGCATGCATGTGTGCCTGCACATATGGGACTTCATGCATGTGCACATATATTCGATTGTGTACTTGTGTGTGCACATATGTGTATGCAGATGAATGTGTGCATATGCATGTATGCATGAGAGGCTGTATAATTTCATGTGTATATGCAAATACCTGCATGTATTCACCCATGTGAAGGCCCCTGTTGGGGGCTGGGAGCACCTGGGCCTAGCTGGTAAGTCTGGGCTGTGCTGAGCTGCGTGACTTCCATGTGGGTGCAGGAAGTCATGGGACAAGAAATCTCTAGTCTTCAGATTTAGAGTCCCCTGTCAATGTGGACTGGTTGGCTAGCTAATGTGGACAGGCCGTTGTCCAGTTTTCTCTGCTGCTTCTCTCTCTCTCTCTCTCTCTCTCTCTCTCTCTCTCTCTCTCTCTCTCTCTCTCTCTCTCTCTCTCTCTCTCTCTCTCTCCACAGAAGTGCTGAATGAGCAAGAGGCACTAGACTTGGGTCTCACAGGCTTAGTTTCGAATTTCACTCCTGTTCTTTCATGAATAATCCCTGTGGCTACTACAGTGTTCCCAGTATAGCTTTGCTGTTTTGAAACTAGAAATACATGAATGGGACTCTCTTAGTGGGAAGGGGGGATGCTTTCTTGACTTTTCAGCCTTGGCTTCACCAGCCTTGTACTGGCTACAGAGTGGTCCCTGTACTTATTTATGCTCTCAACCTCTAGGGAGCTGTAATTCAGGTGTCCTCTGGCAGGACCCCATCTGCCTTTGTCCTCTTCACAGAGAACATTGATAAGACGGACATTTGTGTCCCCAGCACCTACCAAAAGGCCAGGAGCTGAGAACAGCTCAAGTTGGAGTCTTCTGGAAGGGAAGGGAACAGTCAGAGACAAAGCTGAAGATGAGGGTTCTGCTCCAAGCACTGCCACTTACAGTAGAAAAACATGCAGCCACCAGCCAGCCTTAGTTTCATATTGTAAGCAAACGAGTCGGCCCATGTGGCTTCGGGATGACTTACTGGTGTGCTGAGGACTTACCTGCAAGAAGGCTCACACGTCGATGACGCCATTTGGCCACACCACGGTAGAACTTTCCGTTCTGAGAGAAGCTTGGTGGCTGCACGCAGACAGAAGGACGGTCCAGCTCTCAGGACAGGCGGAGGTGTGATCCAGAAGAGGGGAAGAACCGTTGGCTCATGGTTCCTCTGCTCATCACCGAGACACGTGGGTTGTCCAGGTGCGGACACACTGATGACGCAGTGTCGGGATTACACCCTCTTATGTCGGCATTGATTTTGTCAGAATTTTGAAATGCCGGGGTGGCATAAACTCCTGATGGTCAAGACAGATTTTCAAAAAAAAAATCCTAATTTTTATTAAAATCTTTCGTTATACAATGGGAGTAATGCTTTCTGTATTTTTTCTTGTTTTAAGCAACATTTGATCTGCCCATTTAAAAAAAAGATTTATTTTAATTTTTTAAACATTTTTATTTTTCTTTTATTGATTTTTTTGTGTCTTTCATATTATGAAACCCCATCCCAGATATCTCCCCATCTTCTATATTCATCCTCTACCTTTGCAACCTTCCCCCACAAGAAAAAACAAAATAAAATAAAAAAACAAAACAAAGGAGATATGGCCATGGAAGCTGTTGTGTGACACAGAGCGCCCTTCAGTCCACACACCTTAACTTTCTGCCCATTTTCTAAGCACATCCAGACATCTGCTTTTGAGCAGCCATGGGTTATCTGGCAAGGATTCTCTCCAGAGCCAACAGTGCTGGATGATGGGACGCCTTGTTCACACCACCCTGTGTCAACCGTTTTACCTCAGGACGGGGTGACCATGCTTGGTGCCTGCATTGATCTCACCACACAGAACATCAGGCAACCATGGTCCAGAGAGAAGACTCAATACAGATCACTTCTCCTGTCCTGTCAAGTGAAACAGCCCCCTTTGTGTTCTTCAATGCAAGTTCTCACGACTACCAAGGAGGCTTCTTTCCAGGGCTGGGATTCGAATGCTGGCCCCAGTAGTGTGAGTTTTGCAGCCAGCCAAAATGTCAACAGAGGAAAGGAGGCATGTAACGCCTTAGAGGGACTAGAAAAAGAGTTTTGCTCCCAGATGCTCCACATTTTTATAACTTCTTATGACATTTTCTTATTCTTCATTTTGCTAAAAATTATCATTATCATAATATTTGTGTACATGTGAATGTGTGTGTGTGTATACATGTGTGCATCATGGCACATATGTGAAGGTCAGAGGACAACTGTGTGGAGTCACTTCTCTTATTCCTCCTTTACATGGGTTCTGGGGTTTTAACTTGAGACTCCAGCATTACACAACAGTCACCTTTACCTGCTGAACCTTCTTGCTGTCTGTGGTTTCCTCCCTCCCTCCCTCCCTCCCTCCCTCCCTCCCTCCCTCCCTCCCTCCCTCCCTCCCTCCCTCCCTCCCTTCCTTCCTTCCTTCCTTCCTTCCTTCCTCCCCTTCCTCCTCCTCCTCCTCCTCCTGCTCCTGCTCCTCCTCCTCCTCCTTCTTCCCCTTCCTCTTAATCTTCTTCTTCTTCATCCTCCTCTTCCTCTTCCTTCTCCTCCTCCTCCTTCTGTTTTTAAATCTTAGATCATCCACAGGGCTTGGGGTATTTTATTTCTCTTGGTTTCTTTCCCCTGGTGTGTTATGGTTTCCACGCTCTTTGTGTTCCTTCTGAGGTCTGTGTGGCATCAGTGGACATCACTGTTTTTACATACCTGTGTTCATAAGCACTGACTCTCACATCTACCTTTCAGCCATTTTGTAAGCCTTTGTACATTCATTTCCAACATAGGTCATTCTCCTGCTCCATCTCCTTTAGTGTGGATTTGCCGCCGAGAATTCTCTCAGTCTGAAAATATATCTCTCTCAGGTTGAAAATGTCTTCATTCCATCTTCTGTGCTGGAGGATATTTCTTGCTGAGGAATCCAGGTTTGCAGATTTTCCTTGAGTGCCTTGTAGATCGTATTCTGTTGTCTTTCTTTGAGAAGTCAGATGTCAGTGTTATTCTTGCTCTGTTGAAGACTGTTTCCCCCCTTTTCCTATTCTGTCAGATTTCAATGCCTTTTTTCTTGCTCTGATTTCAGTTGTTGCAGCTTAATGTGACTGGAGGCCTTTTGTATTCATAAACTATTTCTTAAATTTTTCTCCATATATGTATCTCATTATTTCCAAGACTCCAATTTCATAGACACCATACTTTCTCACAGTATCTCAGTATTTCCTACAGTTTCTCCCCCCCCCCCCATTCTCAGGACTCTCCATGTATCATTCAAGATACTTCTTCTGACATATTTCTCAGTTTACTGATTATTTCTCCAGCTACATCTGCATAGCAAACCTACCCACTAGAGTTTGAATTTCAGTTACTCAATTTTCCAGTCTTAGAATCTACATTTGATTAATTTTTAATAGGTCCTGGTCCCTAGACATAATCCTCAAATCTTTTCTTTTGAGTCTCTTAGGCTAGTCACTTTTAGAGTCTGGATCTGCTGGCCTGCACCTGGAAGCCCTGTGGGGAGTTGCCAGTATGTTGTGTGCCCTTGTTTTCTACCATCTTATTTTGTTTCCTTGTTTGCCTGGTTTTGATTGAATACTGGAAAACCCTGGAGATCAACCAGGGCTAGGATGGTTACAACTTGTTCAGACAGGGCTAAAGTTTGATGCTAATAATAACAATAACAACAACATCAAATTTCAGTACATCCAGAGATGGCAATGCCTTGTATTGGGGTTCAGGTATCTTTGAAAGATGACGCACTTCCACTTTGCTTTTATTTCTAGGGTGCGAACCCTCAATGTCAGCTAAGCCAATAGCTTAAAGGAATAGTTAGTGATGGGAGAAGTCAAGAGAAGGCTGTGCCACCTCACAGGGTACATGATAGCCAGCTCACATCAACTAGAAAACAATCAAACCAATGCTTCAATTTTCCTCTTCTTACACTTGACAGGTGGGGAGAAAGCAGCGTCTATATACGTTAGAAATCTGCAATGTGAAAATCTTCTGCGTACCAAAGACAAAGGAACAAAGCTCCTACGCTTAAAGCTTACCTACCAGTGGGGGAGACAGGCAGGAGACCCACAGGTAGGGGTTCGTGTGTGTACACGCACCTGCACCGTCGTGTACACATGGGCCTGCATCTGTGTGTCACTCACAGGTGTGCGTCTGTCAGGCACTCTCGAGGAGAGTGGGGTCAAGGCCTCTGGGTCCTCCATCTTTCTTAGAACTCTCTGTAAACTGCATTCTAGCTGTTGCTCATCTAGAATCTTTTGTCACTCTGCACTGCACTCAGCTCTTCCAGACACCTCTAGGGTGCTGTGTGATGCTACCCACCTGTTACCATTCCTGGGTTCCAAGCCTGGGCATGTTACTTCCCTGTGCATAGCGTCCCTTCCTCCCCTCAGGTCTTTAGGTCTGGGGAGAGGACATCTACATCTTACCATCTGCTTTAGTCTGTGGGGGGTCTGCTTTGTGGGGTGCAGACCCTTCAGCTTGGAAGAACACTTCTCTTCCCATTGAGGACCACAATGTTCTCAGGCAGGATTACCCTCTTCTCATGCATTTATAGATGGAGATAGAGGGAAGAGGATGAGAGTGAACACCATTTTATCCTCTTACTCAGCAATCTGAGTGTATTGAGCATAGACTTTGTACAGTAACTCGGAGTCTGAGAAAGGAGTCAAACCTGGACCAGTCTCTATGCTGCAGTCAATGTATTCACCACCTAAGATAATGTCCACCTCGGGGGAGTTAGGAAGAGACCAGATACTCCATGCAGCAGGACCAAGTGGGCGCCTGGCATTTAAGAACTCAGTGTGGTCTGGTGATATCTTTCTATGAACAAAAAGAAATATTAAAAGGAAGTGGAAAATCTGTTGCCTTGGAGAAGTTTGGGAAGAAATCAGATAGTGTGTGGGCAGTAATTTACTTAGCCTGGGTTCCTGCACAGGTCCTGGTGGGCTCAGAGTCCCTTGTCTCCCCACAAGGATGGGGCACTGGCCCCCATCATCCAGGTCAATTTCCCCCACTTTCCCCAAGTGAGTGGGTAGTTGTCCTCACAGACGGTGGTGGGTTGGTGTCTCTTCCTGACAAATGCTGCGGCCCTCAGCCTTATCTTCTACTTATTGTGATTATGCATACAGGAAGGGTTGCACACCCAACAGATTGCACACCATCCTGGAGGCTGTGCTTGCCACAGTGCTTGTGGCTTGGATCAGTTTGAGAGAGAGGGAAGGGGAGGGAGGGCTCTTTGTGAAGAAAACATATTTCATCTGCCTCGTCATTACAGAACACCATCGTGTTGTATTCAGCTCACCGTGCAGAATCAATGCTAACAGCATCCTTAGCAACATCTCCTTCATTTCCCTGGGCAGAGGCAGCCTCACTGCCTGGAGGAAGTATGTGCCACGGAACGGAGAAGGGTGAAGCGGTGACTTCCATCTCTTCCCCCCACTGCAGGAACACCCTGATGCTGGGTCTGTTTCCCCAGAGTTTGATAAGTCCCTTCACAACTCTGACCACCCTAACGGGAGCCTCTGAACTTGTAGTTCTCAACCTTCCGCATACAACCACCTTTTAATACAGTTCTGAATGCTGTGGTGACCCAAAGCATAAAGTTATTTTCGTTGCTACCTCATAACGGTAATTTTGCTACTGTGATGAATGGTAATGTAGATATGTAGGCTATCTCATGTGCGGCCCCCGTGAAAGGGTCACTCCACCCCCAGAGGGGTCAGGACCCACAGGTTGAGAAGTACTGCTCTATGCTCTTGTCCACGGCTCAGCTGGACTCAGGCAAGACCTTCTGTGAGGCGGTGGTCAGCAGGGCTGGCCAAAAGCCCTCTTAGTATTTCTTCTTTTGTGAATTCCTCATAGAGGCTGCTGGCTGTGGGCTGGGGTTCCAGGATGGCTGGCACATCACCATGTGGCTTCCTCAGATGCCCTGGATGTCCTAACAGCGGTTCCCATGATCATTTGGTTCTCATGATCAAGACTCAGAAGTCACACAGCTTTGCACCTTTGTTCTCCACTGTTAACCCTCACCGAGTTAATCCAGGGTCATAGGTGCTACTTCTGCTGTGGCGCACTGGGGTGGGAATTCCCTTTGGAGAATACAGTCAGGCATCCCTAGGATAAGGACGATAGGTGTTTGGGTCCCTGTGAGAATCAATGGAATGATCTTGCTAGGGAATGGGCTCTACGGGAGAATCCAAGATGTTTGGTTCTCTTTCTGATTCTAGAGCCTCCAACCTAAGTGGGGCAGATTCTAGTAGGTTCCACACCCTGAGGCCTGATTGGTGAGAGTGTTGGAGCCCTCTGAGGGTTTGTGATGTGCTCAGGAAGCTGTGCTGGTGGGCACCTGTCCAAGATGGCTTTCTGTCAGCAGCTTGGCCTTCAACACGGGATGCTCAGGTTAGGTGAAGGGCTGCATATACCAGACCACAGCTCAGGCTAGGTGTAGGACTGAGTATACCAGACCACAGATCACAGGGGTTTTTCCACAGTCTATTGCTTCTGGCTGACTGGAGAGTTTGCTCATGTATGGTTCTCACTAGTCACAGTCTAGGCAAGAGAAATAATGTGTGTGAGCTAAGACCGTAGATCATATGAAACATGGGATAGCATGGACTCAGGGCTCAGAAGACTTGAGCCTGGGTGTTGGCTTTGTTATTCATTAGCTGGGAACCCAAGGGAAGTCAGGGCCTGATTGCCAGCATCGTGTTCTTCTCTGTGAGGTGAAGATGTTGGATGTTCTATGACGATGGAGCATTCTCCCTGCCAGGCCACATAGACAATGAACTGGAGTTATCCCTGGCCCAGTCTGCATGGCCATGATGGCCCTTACTGGACAAAACTGTTCTGAGGAAGGGGGTGGAAGGAGGAGGGTTAACATGTGCCTGAGATGAGGAGAGTTTTGGCAAAGGTGTGTTCCCTACCAGCTTCTGGGAGCCTTGCTGGAGAGCAGTGAGGGCCCCCACACCCTAAGCAACTTCTTAGAGAAGCTGCTCTCTCACAAGGCAGAGGTTCCTACTAGAGCCACTGGGATCATCCTGGGCATACAGGGTGGGTTTCTCCTGCCACATACGGCAACCAAGGCAGTCAAAGAGACTGTTTCCTGAGTTCTAGTCAGTTATCAGTCCCTCGGCATCCAATCCCTGCACATGGCCTTGCAAGGCCATGGGGCCTCGGATCCAGATGAAGCTGGCTGTCATCCCTGTCACTTGTAGTGCCTGTGAGACTTTGGCTGGCTGCCTCATTTTGTTTATCCATAAAATGGGAACCATTGCACCTGCCTCCCAACCTGACTAGCTGAAGTCCGCGTAGCTGAATACTGACTTAAACAGTGCTGAGTCCTAGGTGCCATTGCTGGTGCTTGGGGAACGGTGCTGAGCGCTAAGCAGAGAGGCGAGTAAGCATTCTGATTTGTGCTTACGGACAACGAAGGCTCACACTGGGAGTGGAGGCGTGCTCTGGGGCAGAGCTCATGCTCTGGGTTGGGGAGTGCTGAGATCTTTTGCTGCCTACAGTTTGGGGAAGAGTGAGCAAACTTGGGGCTGCCAGTGGAAGCACGCTAACTAAACATCAGGGGGAGTCGGGAGACCCTCACATGACGTGTATTTCAGTTCCGAGAAGATGAAGCAGACAAGAAGGGACCGCAGGGGTCGCAAAGTTGAGTGGAGGGACAGGAAGGGACCAGGCAGACATGGACTTGGAGGTTGTCCCAGGTAAGTTAATTTGGAATATCTGAGAGACAGGATGCCAAGGTGTGGGGAGTCAGGACCTGCCCTGTCCAGGTCACCCTCCCTTAGGACTTTCCCACTATTCAATAACTGTTAGCAAAAGGAAAAGAAATCCTTGGAGGGAACTTCTTTTCAGTTTCCCCACTTAGTTCCTGCTTTTACCTAGGGTGTGTAGAAGCAGCCCAGGCTTCTAGTTTCCTCCTTGACCATAGCTCCAGGGACCCTCACAACAGCCCCAGGAGCCCACAGTCCAGGACTCACTGTGCGGGGCTTCACATAGCTTGTAGAAAATGCAGGTAGGACTCACACCTGGGTTGGCCTGAGTCCAGGCATTCTCTCGATGCCAGCCGGAGCGGTCCAGTCCTGGAATCCTGTCACCTGAGACTCTCATCTCTCCTTTTCTGTCCCCTCTAGCATCAACTGTGTGTGTGTGTGTGTGTGTGTGTGTGTGTGTGTGTGTGTGTGTGCGGGGGTGGTGCGGGAGACACCAGGGTTTCCATCACCTGCCAGCCTTGACTGAGCTAAGTGAGTTTCTTTTAGCGATGATGGGCATGATTAATTTAGAAGAGAAGTTGCCTCATTGCTGCCGGTGTCAAGTGAGAAGGGCCGACGGGCTGCACACCTGGCAAGGGGTTCCTGGAAGAATGCTGACTACACCGGGGGCCCGCTGCCCTTAGCAATGTCTCAACTGGGTATCGCCCTCATCGGTAAGCAAAGTGCCAGCAACCAGGGTAACAGATATGAGGCGCCGGGCCATGGAGACTGAATGCTCAATGCCAGGCAGGTGTGGAAATTTCCAGAACTCAGCACTAGAGCTTTGTCATGAAGTGAAACCCAAACTTCAGAGTCCGTGCACATCACTTAGACATTTCTCCGCAGAAGTCCGGATTCCTCAGCCACGCTTCCAGAGGCTGTTTCCCTCCAAGGGAGCTGGTGTTGTTTGAAGGAGAAGTGTCCCCCCTTAGGCTCATGTGTTTGAGCTCCTGGCCCCCAGTTAGGGATGCTGTGGAGTTATATCAGAGGCAGATCCTTGCTGGGGAAGTGTGTCCCCGGTGGGGTTGGGCTTTGAGGACTTATGGCCTCAGGCTCCCTCCTTCTGATTCCCATATGGATGAAAGGGATAGCAATCAGTCAGCTTCCTTCTCCAGCCTGCTGCCATGCCTCCGCTGCTATGAGCATTCTATCCCTCTGGAACCACACACCGCAATCAAGTCTTTCTTCCTTAAGCTGCTTTGGATCGTGCCGTTTTATCACAGCGGCAGAAAAGTGACCAGTATGGCAGGTTTCTTTTTCACAGTTATTCCAGATGATTCTGATCCAGGAAGACCAAGCCATGTGAGCACAGGACTTAGGCGCACAGCTTTTAGACATTGTGAGTTTGACATTGAGACAACCCTACCCAAGCTAGAGCCTCTTTGGCCTTTGCTCCCTTGGTGTGATAAGGGTCTTAATAGCTTTTCAGAGGAAGAGAATGGCCAAGGAGCACTCAGGATCTTGCATCTAAAACTGCCTGGCCTCTGCGTGTACAAGCTGCTTGGTAGGTTCAACCTGCAGGCGGAGGTTCAGCTGGGGAAGTGAGCAGACCCCACCCAGATATCCGCTCCTTGAAGAAGTCTTCTCTTGTGCTTCTAACTGCTGTGATCCCCTCTTCGAGAACATCTCTCACCGCACTGAAGCCATCTGTCTGTTGTCCTCTCTTCCATGGAAGGGACAGTCTTGCTCCTTTTTGAAGCTCCAGAGCCCAGCCAGGACCGATAATACATTTTACACGACGAGGACACTAGAACAATTTCACATGCCCTCCCTTTGGCTTCCCATCACTCAACAGAAATTTTTCCAAGGCACAGTCTCTATCGTCATCACCTTATGACTGTCTACAGAGCTGTGGCACTATAAAGCTGGTTGTGTCCCCTTTTCGCCATTATAAATCTCACTGGAGTGAACATCTTCGTGTCCTCGGTCGGTGTAATAAGCTCCTGCGGGTCAAACAGATGGCACACACTCTGCAAGTTCACAGTTATGGGACGCAGAATCAAATAATGCCTTAGCTTTGCCTATTTAATTTGCAAGACAAAAAAATAACGCTTATTTTGGGCATGGATGTCGACATAAGGAATCAGGTGTACTTGTTCAACCCCTCACTTTGGCAGTGGAAATCCGAACCATCTGACAATGAGTTAACAAATGAGTAACCCTCCTCTTTGGAGCACTGATGTTGTTAGCTCATTAGTCTACAACTTGTTGAGACAGCGTCTCACTATGTAGCTCAGGCTGGTCTCAAAGTCACAATCTTATTGCTTGGATCTCCAGAGTGTAGGTGTATGCCACTACAGCCGGCTCTGGACACAGCATTTTGTTGTGCAGCGGAGACTTCTCACACAGGTTGGAAGAATTCAGTCTGTTCCTGGCTCTCCCTTCAGGAGACAAAGTTGCCCTGTGTACAGAAGATGGCTTCTACAGGATTCTAGTTGCAACATGGTGCCAGCTCCAGACTGGAGGCTTGGAGGTGGGGCTGTCAATCCTGGACTTGTAGAGTCAGTATTTGCTTGTCGTGGAGTGGTAGGGGCGGGTTTCCCAGATTGCCCATGTGTGGCTGTGGTCGCTTTGATTCCTGTCTGCTTACGGCGGGGTGATGGAGAGTTAGGTAGGCACTTGGGATGTTGGCGGGGTGATGGAGAATTAGGTAGGCACCCGTGATGTCAAGAACCTGGAAGGACTTCAGATTGTGATGGGTTTTCTTGTCCTGCCAGGGCTGCCCCTGTAGATGTTGGGGTGACTGAGTTAGGGGAGTATTCAGAGGCTTTGGACTTCAGAAAGACCTCATGGGCTGCTGGGTGGAGGCTAGAGGCAGAGATGCCAGGAACGAGACTGTGACATAATTCTCTTGTGG